AGAAGAAGAAGAAGAAGAAGAAGACGAAGAATTAGAAGAAGAAGAAGAAGAAGAAGAAGTGGAATTAGAAGAAGAAGAAGAAGAAGAACTCGAAGACGTGGAATTAGAAGAAGAAGAAGAAGAAGAAGAAGAACTCGAAGAGAAGAAACGTAAAAGAAGAAGAAGAAGAAGAAGAAGAAGAAGAAGAATTAGAAGAAGAAGAAGAAGAAGAAGAAGAAGAAGACGTAGAAGAAGAAGAAGAAGAAGAAGAAGACGTAGAAAGAAGAAGAAGAAGAAGAAGAAGAAGAAGAATAAAATTAGAAGAAGAAGAAGAAGAAGAAGAAGAAGAAGAAGAAGAAGAAAGAATTAGAAGAAGAAGAAGAAGAAACTAGAAGACGTAGAATTAGACGTAAAAAGAAGAAGAAGAAGAAGAAGACGTGGAAGGTGAAGAAGAAGAAGAACTAGAAGACGTAGAAGAAGAAGAAGAAGAAGAACTCGAAGAAGAATTAGAAGAAGAAGAAGAAGAAGAAGAAGAAGAAAGAAGAAGAAGAAGAAGAAGAAGAAGAAGAAGAAGAAGAAGAACTCGAAGACGAATTAGAAGAAGAAGAAGAAGAAGAAGAAGAAGAATTAGAAGAAGAAGAAGAAGAAGAAGACGAAGAAGAAGAAGAAAGAAGAAGAAGAAGAAGACGTGGAAAGAAGAAGAAGAAGAAGAAGAAGGAATTAGAAGAAGAAGAAGAAGAAGAAGAAGACGTAGAATTAGAAGAAGAAGAAGAAGAAGAACTCGAAGACGTAGAATTAGAAGAAGAAGAAGAGAGAAGAAGAAGAAGAAGAAGAAGAAGAAGACGTAAAATTAGAAGAAGAAGAAAAGAAGAAGAAGAAGAAGAAGAAGAAGAAGAAGACGTAAATTAGAAGAAGAAGAAGAAGAAGAAGAAGAACTAGAAGAAGACGTGAAGAAGAAGAAGAAGAAGAAGAAGAACTCGAAGAGAAGAAAGAAGAAGAAGAAGAAGAAGACGACGTAAAATTAGAAGAAGAAGAAGAAGAAGAAGAATTGAAGAAGAAGAAGAAGAAGAAGAAGAAGAAACGTGAATTAGAAGAAGAAGAAGAAGAAGAAGAAAGAAGAAGAAGAAAGTAAAAAGAAGAAGAAGAAGAAGAATTAGAAGAAGAAGAAGAAGAAGAAGAAGAACTCGAAGACGTGGAATTAGAAGAAGAAGAAGAAGAAGAAGAGAATTAGAAGAAGAAGAAGAAGTGGAATTAGAAGAAGAAGAAGAAGAAGAACTCGAAGACGAAGAATTAGAAGAAGAAGAAGAAGAAGAAGAAGAGAAGACGAAGAAAATTAGAAGAAGAAGAAAAGAAGAAGAAGAAGAAGAAGAAGAAGAAGAAGACGTGACGTAGAATTAGAAGAAGAAGAAGAAGAAGAAGAATTAGAAGACGTAGAATTAGAAGAAGAAGAAGAATTAGAAAGAAGAAGAAGAAGAAGAAGAAGACGTGGAATTGAAGAAGAAGAAGAAGAAGAAGAACTCGAAGACGTGGAATTAGAAGAAGAAGAAGAAGAAGAAGAAGACGTAGAAGAACTCGAAGAAGAAGAAGAAGAAGAAGAAGAAGAAGAAGAAGAAGAAGAAGAAGAAGAATTAGAAGAAGAAGAAGAAGAAGAACTCGAAGAAGAAGAGAAGAAGACGTAAAAAGAAGAAGAAGAAGAAGAAACGGAAGAAGAAGAAGAAGAAGAAGAAGACGTGGAACGAAGAAGAAGAAGAAGAAGAAGAAGAAGAAGAAGAAGAGAAGAGAAGAATTAGAAGAAGAAGAAGAGAAGAAGAACTGAAGACGTGGAAAGAAGAGAAAAAAGAAGAAGGCGTAAGAAGAAGAAGAAGATGAAGACAGATAAAGAAGAAGAAGTTTGAAAAAAAGAAAAGATGATAGAGAAACGTGGAAGAAGAAGAAGAAGAAGAAGAAGAAATTAGAAAAGAACTCGAAAAAAATTAGGAAGAAAAGAGAAAAAACAAGGAGTGAAGATGAAGACAGATAAAAAAGATTTCTGTTTAAAAAATGAAAAGATGATAGAGAAATAGAAATTAGAAAAGAAGTAAATAAAGGAGAAAAAACAATGTGCTTGGGTGTATAAGTATAGAATGTGTGGGGGGTGTGTGAGAAAGAGAGAGAAAGGTGGGGAGAATTTGATTCAGATCATGGATTAATGCAAGAGACGATGACTTAAATTCATTTGAGACCTTGAATATCATCGGAAGACATTAAAGATCGTCGGGTGTGAAAACAAAAAAAGAAAGAAAAAAAAATTTCAAAGACAATATGCTTTATAGAATTTGAAACCTGATATTATCTCAGTCTAAATTCGTCCCAAAGCGTGATGTTCCGGTGAGGATTAAAATCAACACAACTGTAACCATTGTTTTCCGACGTGTGGCTTCAATTTGTTAATAGCATCCACACTGACGTGCCAAAAGTCATGCAGTATGTAAAGGTAATGGTAGGTAGCACCACCAGACATTGATGTCGTGGAAATGCTCAAGCCTATATAAATAAGATCTGACATTTATTGAATCAGTGTAAACACACGCTATGATACTCATGACAAGGTGACATGAGTACTTACCTGCCACAGGAGTTAACTTTTGTGCAGTAAGTAGAGTAAATGTTTATCTTTATTTTAGGAGGGAGTACTTGCTTAGTCTCGTGGATTCCAACCCTGCTCGAGTACGTTCCTCATTGTAGTGAGAAAAGGAAGAATTGGTGTAATATCGTTACAAGCGTGATAGTGGACGCGGGGACTGGTAAAAATATGTTTTTTGGTCCATATGCATAGACATGTGTATGTCGCACCCTATATTAAACTGACCTTGTATCATATCCTGCCTTATTGGATAGGCCGGGTATTTAGCCGGCTTCTCCATTACATGGTAGGATGACATGAATTATTGGAGGGTATGATAATGGTTACCAGACGTATTGGATAATCCATATTTGAAATTGTAACGACATTTGACATCCCCCGATCTACAACACCATATATGTTCAAGACATACCTGATGAAGGTAATATCATACACTACGGGCAGCGCTGTATCATGTGTCGTATCGCCCCTGGAAATGGGGGATAATGGCTCTCCACAACTTCCTATCCGGAGTTGATTTTATTAAAGTTTGTCTTTTTACCATCCTTTCAAAAAAGAAAATATGTTAGATTACTCGCAATTTCCATCTGTTTCTTTTGCTTCTGATATGTCCAGTGAGTGGTAAATTTTCCAAGTCTTGTTTTCTCATTAAGTGTCCTATAAATCTCAACCGTTGCTTTTTGAGTATAAGAATAAGCGTCTTTTTGTTTCTATTTTCCTGAAAACTTCCTCGTTACTCACATGTTCAGATCATAGTATAGTATCTGATCACGAGCCCTTAATGACTGCGATCAGAGCCGTCTCTTAGGAATTGTTTGTAGTAACAGATAAGCGGCACTGGCTCAAATCAAATCCATATTCAAAGTAAGAGGCGCGAGAAGCATATTCAGCAGGTCAGTTCTGCGTTCCCCAACACCCATGGGATATGGGTGTAGAAGACCCACCAGTGTGTCCCTGTTAACACTATGAACCCTGACTGAGTGCCTCATCCAAGCTCATGATGTTAATTGGACCCTTGAACAACGTGTGACCTGGTTTAATGAGTTAGTTCTCGTTTTCTGTGTCTGATAATAGGGTTTGGGTGTGGACGCATGACCATAGGGTCCATTTTTCAACAAGTACCATGCAGGTTGGTGGTGATTCCAAAATAGTGTGGGATGTGTTTATGCCGAATGCGTTGGATCTGCTGGCCTATCTAAACATCTTACTGACTTATGACCTCTACTGTTTGATGACCATTTTCACCCATTCATGGAGTGTATGATGTGTTATTGTAGAAGAATAATGTATCGAGGTATCGGAGTTAAGTAACCCAGAATTGGTTTGAGAAGGATTCTATAGAGTTCTCACAAATGGTATGGCCACTCTGTTCGCCCGACATGAACATAATCTGGGAAGTAATGACGAGGCTTATTCGTATGCAACATTCTGTATTTTTAAATCTCAGGACGTTATGGAGAGTTATTGAGACGGCATCTCTTCTGAAGTTTTTCGATCACTTGTGGAATTGATGCCACATCGATTTGCTGCACTTTAATGGGCTAAAGTCGGGGGTGGGATCTGACACGTTATAAGGTACCTATCCCATGCTTTTTTTTTGCACGTCAGTTACCAGAATATTAATTAAGCGCATTCAGAATGAAGAATAAATGTTATAATAACTATGAGTTAATTAGGTATTTCTTAATTGTGCGGGAAATACCTTGGATTGAATGAAATGTCTAAACAAAAAAATTAAAACAGGTTCGGGGATTTGCGTTGAAAATTGTAAAAATGTCGTGTATATAATCAACTTCATGTGCTTACGGTAACAGTAAACGTTTAAGTCTGATAAAAGAATCCGATAGTGGGTTCCACTGTAAGAATCGAACTCATTAGAGTGGCTGGCTGGAGCATCTGAAGGAGTCTACTACGAAAAATGCTCTGACCATTTAAATAAATAATTCATATTTCTTTTTTTTTTCACCATTTTTACGTTCCCCTATTTTTCTTTTTTTTTTCCTTATTTTTCCTCCCGTTCGTAATTTGTCAGTTTATAGTCTTGTAATTCGAGAGTTTGAAGATGTTTAATAATGCGTTATTTAAAAATGTAATGATTTTCAAGTTTAGCCAAGCTTAGACTTGGTATGGTGCAAACTTAAGTGGCTCAAAGAAGATTATGCTGCGCCAATCATCCAAGTGGGATGGCTTGTCAGCCTTGAAGATTCACATGAAAAATCCTGAATGTCCCTGGACAGAAATATGAAAAGCACTCGATCATAAATTTATTAGGAATTTTCCTAATTCGAGATTTTTTTTCTATATTACTGAGTGTCGCCAAAATTTATAGACATATCTTAAACATCGCTTTTGCTTATTACTTTGTGGTTAGATACTTTAACAACCAACAAACAACCAAATGGAAAGGTATCAAATCATGAATCTCTTGGTTTTGTTTCAGATTCTCTTCGTTTGAATGGATTCCCATAAAAAAAAAACGTCTAAACAGTTTATCAGATTCTAATTTTATAAACTTCTTTTTCTGCAACCATTTTGCACGTTTCAACAAACATTTATGTAGAAACATTTAATGTTTTTCAGTATTTCAGATGCTTAGTTTAAAATTTTTGGCCCGGGAAAGAACATTGGACTAACTTTCTTTCTTTCTTTCTTTCTTTCTTTCTTTTCTTTCTTTCTATTTCAGTCTTTTTCATATCTATCTATCTATCTATCTATCTATCTATCTATCTATCTATCTATCTATCTATCTATCTATCTAGTCTATCATCTATCTATCTATCTAGTTCATATCTATCTATCTCATCAGTTCATATCTATCTATCTATCTATCTATCTATCTATCTATCTATCTATCTCAGTCAGTTCATATCTATCTATCTATCTATCTATCTATCTATCTATCTATCTATCTATCTATCTATCTCAGTCATATTCATCTATCTATATCTATCTATCTATCTATCTATTATCTATTTATCATAATATAAATTTGCTATATTTTTGCAGAAAAAAAAGCGTTCTCAGCATTGGGGATAGATCGTTTGTAGATATAAATATAGACAGGATATCCTTCAAATGCACACACTATTTGAATATTTATTAATTCAATATTTATTAAGGTACACGTAATTTTTATAATTCAAATGAGAAAGGACAAAGCTCTATGCTTTCCTTTAATTAAATTACAGAATTGTTTTCAATGATTGCAACTGATGGCCCAGACATTGCTGTTAACGTAAACCAATAGAATTGCACATATCACGAAATTTCAATATTTGGAGTTTGGTCTCTTTTCGTTTCAGTTTGATTATTGCCGATGCTGCGAAAAAAAAAAAAAAAAAAAAAATTCAGATCAAGACGGTGCGCGATCATCTTGATTAATTGGTATTAAAATAACATTTTCCCAATGAGTGCTCTTCAATATGTGAAAGACCCGCTTGTAAATGCTTCCCTCAAAAGCCGCTTACCGAACCGATTTTCCTGATAGTATGTCCCATCAATGTTTTCCAAGAGAGCGCCTCTCTGCGCCTGCTTGGTCTCACACTGTCTGCTGACCTGAGGTGGAACAACTACATTGAATCAATAGCTTCATTTACCGCAAGGGACGTTGGTTCTCTGTGTCGTGCCAGAAAGTTTTTTTTTTTCGCCTGAGTCCATCCTTTAAATCTATAAATCAACCATTCGTTGATTGCATGGAATACTGCTGCCATATATGGTCTGGTGCTACGTTTCGAGGTCCTCGACAAAATCCAGAGACGGATATACAATGTAATTGGTCATGATCTGGCATCTCGTCTACAGTCACTTTTTCACAGTCGTGCCGCAGCTTCCCTCTGTCTTTTCTACACGTATTTTTATGACAACTGTTCTGACTACCTACTTTCGATAGTTCCCAAACTGCATGAATTTAAATATGCTATTAGGTTGGCAATCGGTCCCATTCTTTCACTGTCGAAACGGTTAAATGTTGCCGTCTCTTCTACTCCAACAGCTTCTTTTCTCGCACTTCCCGTTTGTGGAACTCCCTTCCCTGATAGCTATAATCTTCAAATATTTAAGTGTAATGTCAATCGACATCTTCTGATACATTGATCTCATAAAAGAAAACAACATTAAAGCGTCGTTTCGTGAATGTGTTGGCATATTAATTGTAAGTTCGATTCCTGGGCCGGGTAGTAGATACTCAGACATATTGGATAGAGAACTAGCAATAACTGAGTAGTACTAAAAAAAAGAAGATATTGTCAGACATGGAAAGAAGACCAAGGACAATTTACTCCCCAAGATTAAATAAAGGTTCAATTCGAAATTCCCTAAAGGTTACCCGGCTTATGCAGGAATAGCCAAGACTTTATGGTAATTATAGTGTATGTCGGCGTGGTTTTCCATCGCATTCTTCACGATTTAGAAGTCATGGTTGTCTTCCTCCTTCTAGATTGGCAGTTAGTGGGAAGATAGAGTAACCAGTCTACGTTATTATAAAATCAAATAAAATTTAAAGAGATGTAAGTGATTAGAATAGTTGTCCAATATTTTCAAATATGCTGTCTTAATTAGTTTAAATCCATTTGCCATAACCGTAACGTTGATGCAAAATTCTTAAAATAGAGAAATATTCAAGGCGATCTGTCAAAGCGAAGTTTTAAGTTGATCATTTATTCACCAAATCAAACGATTTTTCCAATATATTGTGGAAGGAAAAGAATTTCAAACGAAAATAAAGTTTTATTCCGTATCTTTGTGCTTTCAAAAATAATATGGAAATGACGCGGAGAGATATTTTCATGCAAATGTTTGCTTAATTAAAATCTGGTTTTATTTTAAAAACGCATCAGTTTTATATTTAGGCAAAATAATCTGCTTTCCTTGATTGTTGTTGTTGGCACCCGCTTGCTTCAGGATCGTCATCCTCTCTCCCTATTCGTTTTCTCTCCCCTGGTAGCGGTGGCGGAGGCGGAGTTGGCTGAGAATCAAAGAGAGTTTGACGAGTCCATTTGCTTGAATCTGATTTTGGTGGACAACTCTGCGCGACGGAGAAACCCACACACTTGGCCAGAAGCGCCTCCCACGCGGCTGAACATTCAAAACCATATATTTACTAGGTCTAATTTAGACTGAGTGAAAGCCTCAAATACAGGACAGTAAATGAAGCTATGGCAGCAAGAGATTTTGAATCTAGTTGGCTTGTCGGTTTAGAATTTTGCTGCACCCATTCTTATATCGTGGTTGGCACCCGCAACACATCGGGGTCGTCATCCACTCTCCCTTTTCCCCTTTCTCTACCCTGGAGAACATGGCTGCTATTCAAAGAGAATTTGACGAGGCCATTCGCATGAATTTGATTTTGGTGGAAAACTCTGCGCGACGGAGGAGCTCACTCGTTTGGCCAGAAGCGTCTCCTTCAACCTCTCAGTGGGGTTGAGACAGGTGAGATCTGGCAAGCCTGGTTGCAATGGCCTGTCGGATCCTTGATCTGTTAAGGTCCGCTTTGATTACTGTCCACTTCCGCCGTTTGCCGTTGAGATCGTGTAAATATTTGCCTATTCCGCCGTTGGTGTCTTCAGGAGTTGGTTGCGTTCGGTCTGGTCCTTCCTCTTTGAATTTACCGCCATTGATGGCCCGACAAGAATTGGAATTCCAAACGGATTCGCTCTTGTGATCACTGGGACATGCAAACCCTCTACCATGACAAAAAACGAACATATATTTTACACTTGATGTCGGAGTGAACAGATTGTTATAAAATGTACCTCTTTGACTTCTTATTACTTTAATGAAAATAATAGAAACCAATTAATAAATAAGAAAAGAATAAAACTAATAAATATATAAAATTATTATTAAACACAAGAGAACTTTTTTTTATTATTGTTGTTACTAAAAGAATAAATATTTAAGAGATAAATAATACAAGAAGAAATTCGCTAGTGAACAAAAAAATGTTACGACTCGTAAGGCTTTTTCCTACAAATCTGGTTTATAAGATTATTCCTACAAAAATAAAATCAGACAGAAATAAAATAATGTTGAATTTTTTGTACCGAATACAAGTGCCGGCACGATGAAATAATTTTCTCTGCGGCACGATTATTCTGTTCCCAAAATTATGCCGTGCAAGAAAACATGCACTTTCATGTTTACTGCAAACCGGCACGCTTATTATATTTATTTATTTAGAGCCACTAAGATGCAAATGGTTGTTGAGAAGAAAAGAATCAGAGAAAAGTCATTATTAAGGAGAAAAGAGAATAAAGGAGCCGGAAATCAAGGAAACAATTTGACATTGAATTTAAATTTTTGAAGATCTTATTTGATAGGAAAGATGTGCAAGAGAAGAAACTGTTAGCGAAGAGCTACATCGAAAAAATATTAGCAATGAATTTATGCGACCTAACTTACAATCTAGTACTGCGCTTAAATTCGTGAAAACCGCGGTACTAACGAGGAAAGCTCATCAGAACAATTACTGTGAAAATATTTATAAAAAAAACTCAGGGAAGCTAATTTTACGGCGGTAGGAAAGTGACTGAAGCTGAGATGCCGGGTCAGAACTGATAACATTGCTGATTCTTCTTTGGATTTTATCAAGAATCTTCGAATACATAGAACAACCAAACCAGATTTTCCAGCAATGCATAGACGAATGATAGATTTATAAATGTGTGTGTGTGAGAGAGAGAGAGAGAGAGAGAGAGAGAGAGAGAGAGAGAGAGAGAGAGAGAGAGAGAGATATTCAAGCATGATGCAATAAACCAAACTTCCAGCCAAAAGACCTAGCAATTGTTTCAACATAGTCATTCATGTCAGCGGGAAACGTTAGCCTGAGAAGGTGCAATGAGTCACTCTCTTGGAGGTTAGCATCAGTTATGTTAATGGAAGATAAAAAAGGTTCTCTAAGACGATTAAGTGAGAGAGTAGTTTCGTTTTGGAGTCGCTAAAATCAACAAGCCATTTATTGCCCAGTTAACAACAGATTGTAGCTCATTTTTTAGTTCAGCTGCTGATTTGACTTTATCGAACCAATCAGACTTGCCATTAAGAGAAGAGTAAGTACTTTTGTCCTCAGCATAGATACCAATTTGATTGGATTGGTTTGATTTGTTTTACGGCATATCAACACCTCAATGGGTTATTTAATGCCGACAATTTTTATTGCTGGTAATATTTTTTTACAAAAAAGTATTTTTGGTATTAAAACCTATTTTTACACTTTCATAGTGTTTTGACCCCAGTTTAGGGGTTAACTATTTGCCAATAGCTGGGACCCTAACAGGTGTTACCACTCCGGGTAAGGGTGGACCTGGGAACACCAGCAATTAAAAGATGGTTCTACGCTCCACAAAACCTCCTGGTCAAAGACCTTGCTGCCGGATGTAGTTTATCGTCTTACCCAGGACGCGGATGTAGTTTATCGTTTTGCCCAAGGCGCGGAAGTAGTTTATCGTCTTACCCAGGACGCAGTAGTTTGATACAGAAGGAATAATATTGGACAGTAAATTTATTAGAAGGTGTATCAATATTATAATACGTCACATGCTGAAAAATGGTATGAACGTCCCACTGAACGAGTCATAGAAGGAAGTCTATGAAGTTAGAATTCTTTGTAACTTTACCAGTCATATGGGAAGTCATGTAAAAGCTAATGAACTCGACATTGTGATTCAAGACTACAAAGAAAAAAGCCTTTCAAAGACTGCGTCATCGGTTAAAAATATGACGAAATAATTAAGTATAAGGATTTTGAAACTGAAATTGAAAAGTGCGGCACCTTAAAACTACTATTACACCTAAAGTAACTGGTATTTTGGATATCTATATATAAAATTCTGTAACTGTCCGTCCGTCCGTCACACCGTCTAAAATAGCCTTACATCGGCTGATCGAACCAAATTTTGGGGAGAAGGACCAACAGGTATGGTGGTGCAAAATACAGTTGGTTTTACTAAGTTGCGTAAAAACCGCGAAGAAGGGTTTTTGTCAAAAGTATTTTCCAAACAAATCAACTTATTCAAATTTTATCGATTGGTTTGTGAAATTGAACGTAACGTAATGTTAGTGATAACTTCAACAATGCTGAATACTGTGAAGATTTCAAAAAAAAAAATTGTAGTGATTAAAATATACAGACAAGGAAAATCCATAGCAGCCCCTGTTTACAAGTGATTCAAAAATTGCACCATGTAGAATTTCTGCTAACAGAATTCATATATTTACTACTTTGCCTTACTGTATGTCTCGCGTAATGACCTGGTAAAGGATTGTACTGGACAGAAAGTAACAGATGATGATGATAATAATAATAATAATAATAATAATAATAATAATAATAATAATAATAATAATAATAATAACCATCATCATCATCAAATATCGTAAAACAGAATGTGCTTTCTTATTCCTGGGGACTTAGGCCTGTTCATATCTATCTATCTATCTATCTATCTATCTATCTATCTATCTATCTATCTATCTGGATTATGCAAAGATTAAAATTCGCTAGGTAAAGATTAGAAATCTCGGCTTGTCAATTTACGCGTCTTTGCTGTAACCATGACAACAGAGCGGTATGGATCTAAATACTAATAATCGAATTTACTACTAATAAGTATATTGTTTAGAGCAACTATTATAAAGTTGAGTTAGGGGTCGAACCAAGTGCTAACAACACCGACCATTCATTGTTATTCGAACAAGCTGTAATTATGAACCCACCATAATGTTTTATGTTTAATGAACTAATTGAAAAGAGATGAATAAAAGAAGCGTAGAGTGATGTAAAATTCGGTATATTCATATTTAAATAATGAATTTCCACCGTGAAATATGAGCGAAGAAACATCTGCTGATTGGGGAAAGAATCCTCACAATGTTTAAGGATTTAACTCAAGCGATAATCCGGTGTTGCTATTATAGAGGAAAGGAATTATGGGGGAAAAAAAAAGAAAAAAAATGGAAGATATAAGAATGTGAACAACATTGGCACGAGATTTAATGCGAGAAAAGAAAAGAAAAGAAAAAAAAGGTGCTAAGTCGACAGAGTGTAAAGAAAAGACGCGATAAACCATGGTATTTATCAGGGAAATAAATTGTTTAAAAAAAAAAAACGTGAGACACGTCGAAAGGAGGTAGGTTTGTAGAAAGGAAAAATGGAGGAGATAAAATGAAGGAAGTAAAAAGTAAGAAAAATGAAAGAGAAAAGGAATAGGAAAGCGGAAATAAAGGAATTCTGGTGATTCCCAGAGGCAATAAATAGCTACAGATTGACTCAATAATAAGGCACTGTCGTGGCTCATCTAGTAAACAGTGGAAACTGTAATTCACCAGAGTGCCTTGTTTTAGTATAATTAGAAAGCAGGTCTCATTGTTCGCTACTATTGATCAATGAATTCAGTTCTCATTTGGTGCTTATTGTTTGTCCTTGTGACGAAAATAAGCTTGGTAAATAACAAGTTTAAATCAATGTTTACTTACGTTCTTTATAGCCGTGTCAGGTCTAGACTCTCATGTGGGTGTCATGCATGACATCCAACTAACTTCGAAACGTTTAAAATATTAGCGACATGCATCCGTTTTCTCAGATCAACGGTTAAAATGATTTTAAATGTATTAATTCGATAAATCTTAATTAAGTCGATCCTTTATAAACTCCTATAGACCGGAGTTACAAAATCACAAAGATGTTTATCAAATAACAAAAACCACATCACTTGATGATTTCCAACAGCAGCAGCAGCAACGAAAATAATAGCACATGTAACTAGAAGGGAAAATGGTGATATGACGAAGTCGTTCTAACAATTTTTTATATAACTAATGAAATTATCTATCAGTACTGCTTAAAAAAAAACAAACAAACAAAAATAACACCAACCATTTCTATTTCCAACAACGGTTAGAAAATTTAAAAACTATTCCTCATCCCTACTATGAGTTAATTATCCCGTTTTTTTTTTTTTTAAATAACGTTTAAATTAATTTCTAACACTAGTTCGGGCCAGTAATCATTTTTAAAAGGACGTATTATCAAGTTTTGTAACTAATTATTTTCCATTTTAATTATCCCCCCACCAAAAAAAGAGAAAGTAACCCCACCCCATGCCTTGTGCCTTTCCTATAAATACTTTCATGGTAATTGTTCAGATGAACTTTCCTCTAGGGTGCAAATTTTACATATGGGAACTAATTAGAACTACATAGAGACTTGAGATTATCATGATGGTTGTAGTAAGAATGGTAAGTAAGAATTAGTTGTTTTGGTGGAATGAATATATTTGGGTCAGTAATTGCGTCTAGCTAAGTTTAACCAACCTTCCCTATGCTCTCTGTTGGCCTTGTGCCACATTTTTGTATTATATAAAAATAAATATTACTTTTCTCTAAGCTACCTAGACCTTATGAATTTAAGCGCAGTATTAGATTTGTGGCAAGGTCTCATCATTTTACAGTAGTAATAGTTAGATATAACTGTAAGTTCTATGCTAACAGTTTCTTCTCTCGCCCTTGTACAACTCTCTTGTAGCATCTTTTTTTCTCAGTCGAGTTTGATATTCAAAAATTTAAACGCAATGCCAATCATTATTTTTTGTCTGATATGATCAAATAAGCAGCTGATCTAAAAAAAAATCTACATTCTGCTGTTAATTGTGGCAAGAAATGGCTGGTTAATTTAAACACCATCAAAACGAAACTGCTTTCTATTAATCGTCTGATGGCTGATGTTAACCTTCTTGAGAATGGCTCATTACGCCTTCTCCGGCTAACATTGTCCGTTGACATGAAATGGAAAGAATTATGTTGAAGCAATTGCTAGGTCTGCTGCTAAGAAAATTTGGTTCACTGTGTCTCCACCCGAATCTATCTTTCAGATTTATACGTTTACCATTTGTGTATGTCTTGAATATTGCTGTCACATGTGGTCTGGTGCTTCTGCTATGTATTTAGAGATTCTTGATAAAATCCAAAAAAGAATTTGCAATATTATTGATCCTGTCCCAATATCTCGGCTTCAGTCATTTCTTTTTTGACCGCTGGAATGTATCTTCCCTGAGCTTTTTTATAAAAATATTCTGATGATATTTCCTTTTTGGTACGTAAATTGTACGTATGGTACGTAAACCTTATGAATTTAAGCGCAGTACTAGATTGGCAGCAAGGTCTCATCATTTTACAGTTGAAATGATTAGATACTAGTTCTATACTAACAGTTCTTTTCTCGCACCTGTTGGGTAACCCCAATGAAGACTAATGGGCTGTCTCAGTCTGTTCATATCTATCTATCTATCTATCTATCTATCTATCTATCTATCTATCTATCGTTACTTAAATGAAAGTAACTGCAATTCTAATCTAGTCTTCCGTATAGCTGGTCGATAGTGGAGCGAAATTCTCTGCTGATAATATTGGTACAAGCGCCGGGCGGTTATCCCGCAAGCAGTACCTGTCTTTCGAAAGGAGGCTGAGGTTATTTTGTCCGGTGCCCGAAGCGTCCCGTAAAATGGAAGTGCTGAGGGGGATTGAGAGTTTTTCGCTTGTACTAATGTATAAGTAAAATGTTTGTAGTACGAAATCTCCTTGTTTGGTCTCCTTATTACCATGTCAGCCGTTATAACAACCTCTCATTTGTAGAACATTTCCAGCTTCTTGCTATCCAGTCAAATTTGATCTTCAAAGTAATGTCAGTCGTTATTTTCTGTCTTCTTAATTTCAGTTCTTTTATTGTTCTCTTTCATTAATAATGTTGTTTTCTCCTATTATCTCACACTTAATAATCCCGTTGGTGTCTTAATGGCTTCATTTCTTTGCTTGGGGGTGAAATGATTAAAAAAACATCATGTCAATACTACCAACAGCAAGAACAACAAAAATAGGCGGAACGTGTAACTAGGTGGGAAAATAATATAACGCAGCTCTTAACTTTCCATATTCAGAAAAAAAAAATCCTGTCAATATTAGAAAGGGCTATAACAGTGGATTTTTAGAAGTCTAATTATGCCAAAATTATTTTATAAATTTCTACCAACAGGAACATTAACTGTTCATATAATGAATGCCGAATTATTCATCTATGGAATGATTTGACATGTAGACATTTCATCCCATCCAATTACGATTAAGTCGGTTCGCAGACTTTCAAAATACACGATTATTGAGGTTATAGATATAATGCTGTAAGCTACCTCTAAGCTATCTCTTCTTCCTTTATCGCTCTCCATCCTCTCAAGACTGCGGAATAATCGATAGCATTTCTGACAGTATAGACAAGGCTCTCTCTCTCCATCCGTTTGCTCACATATTAGTGCTTGGCGATTTTAACGCCCATCATACCAAATGATTTAAGAATGCTACTACTGACCTTGCAGGCATTCAAATATTTAATTTTTCAGTCTCTCAATCCCTCACGCAGATAGTTGACTTCCCCACGCGTTTTGCCTACAACCTGGACGATAAGGCCTCTCTTCTGGATCTGTGTTTTACCTCCATCCCAGAGTCTTGTAGCGCCTCGCAGCTCTGCCCTCTCGGTAACTCCGATCACGCTGTAGTGTCGGTCAACATCTCCTTCAACTCCACCCCCTGCAAAGAACCTCCTACCTCTAGAACCTCGTTCTGCTATCAACGAGCTGACTGTCCCCTGGGATGTTGTCTTTACGCTCCCCGTTCAAGAATGTGCTTCTGAGGTCTCCTCTTGGGTCAAAGCTGGAATCGACGCTTTCATCACCCCAAGGAAATTTATGGTCAAATCGCGCTGGTTTTCTGCTGCTTGCTCAGACGCCATTGCCCATAGGAACTACTTCTTCTACCTCTATCGTAGCGATATGTCCGACTGCAATAGACGACTCTTTGCCTCTGCCTGTAACGAGTGTAAACGTGTCCTCAACGAAGCTAAGTCACTATTTGCTGCTCGAATGAAGGAACGTATTGCTCCAAATTATACAACTACTGCCTCAGGGAGTCTTGTTTTCCATGCTGCTGGAAGTCCTCTTCGATTGTTCCTGTCTTTAAGAACTCCGGCGACCCCTCTAACCCTTCTAATTACCGTCCTATCTGTCTCCTTCCCCTCTTTGGCAAAGCCTTCGAAGCTTTAATCAACGCCGAAGTGGTTAACCACTTTACATCCATAATCTGCTCTCAGACAGGCAATATGGCTTCCGCTTTACCCGATCTACAGCTGATGTGCTTACGGCCATCACTGAAATTTTCTACCAAGCTCTTCAGAATAACGGAGAAGCTCGTGCCGTGGCCCTAGACATCTCCAAAGCGTTTGATAGGGTTTGTCATGCTGGACTTCTTCACAAGCTTCCAGGGTTATGTTATTACAGGTCGATTGTATGACTAAATTCAATGATTTCTGTCTAACCGCGCATGGAAAGTCGTTCTCAACGGATTCTCCTCCAGCTTCTATCCCACGAATGCAGGTGTTCTCCAAGGCTCCATCCTAGGTTCTATTCTGTTCTTTATCTTCATCAATGATCTTCCTGACGTTATAGATTCCCAACGCAGACGACACTACAATTTACTCCTGCCTCAAAAACAAATCTAGTGTCGTTGACAAAACTAACCTGGCCGTTCGTCTCAAAAAGGACCCCCAATCGGTTGTGAACTGGGGCAGGAATTGGCTGGTTAACTTTAATGTCTCAAAAACAAAACTACTCTCTATTAATCACAACATAGATCCTTCCCTGCCCCCCCCCCATTAGAATGCCTGACGCTCAACTTCCCGAGAGCACCTCTCTGCGGCTGCTCGGTCTCACCTTGTCTCCTGACCTGAGATGGAACAAATACATTGAGTTAATTGCTTCGTCCACCACAAGGAAAGTTGGCTTCCTGTGTCGCGAAATTTTTCTCCCCGGAATCGATCCTTCAAATCTACAAATCAACCATTCGCCCTTGCACGGAGTATTGCTGCCATATATGGTCTGGAGCACCTACTGTTTGCCTCGGGGTTCTTGATAAGATTCACAGGCGGATATGCAATATAATTGGCCCTGATCTGGCATCTCGTCTACAGTCGCTCTTTCACAGACGTGCAGTCTCCTCTCTGTTTTTTTTTTTATAAATACTTTCATGGTAATTGCTCCGATGAGCTGCTTTCGCTGGTTCCCAGACTTCGTGAATTCAAGCGTCCTACGAGGCTGGCATCCCGCTCTCACCCTGTCACTTTTGAAACTGTTAAATGTAGCCGCCTCTTCTACCCCAATAGCTTCATATCTCGCATCTCTCGTCTGTGGAGCTCCCGTCCCTATTCCTGTTTCCCTGATAACTATAATCTCCAACTATTCAAATATAATGTCAATCGACATCTCCTGATGCCTTGATCTATCCACTATCCTTCTCCTAATCCTTTCCTCTATCATTCCTACCTGCTCTCGCTCCAAATCCTCCATAACCCCTTGCATGCTAGTAACTTCACGCCTTGATAGGGGTGAAATGCTTAAAAAAATAAATAAGCAAACCTGTGTAAGAAAATAGGTATAATATACCGATGTATTTCATAAATCTTTAACACCCCCTCGACCAAACGGCCTTTATTTGTTCAAAATATAAATGTATAATCTAGTGTTGACAGAAACAGCAGCGTTATTGGGTTTATAAAACGTTGGCCGAGAAAAGAGGCAAAGAACTGAATCAGAAACAAAGTTCACTGTTAGAGCGAGGTGTGTTTGATAAAAATTATAAAATTATAACGAGTGTGATGATAATCTTTCTTATGATGTTGTTTGTTACTCACGGTCGCAAAGTATACTGGGTAATTTTTCAAACGGTTTTGTTATGCAGTTTAATTAAATCATTTATACACTAAACATGCGTTTTTATAGTCTTTCATGATAGGCCTATTTTCCGCCAAGATTTCTTTCATCCGAACTCAGATGAAACAAGGTGTTCGACCCACATTTTGAAAGCCAGACTTTCAATTGATTTTCTACGCAGTAAGACAGGTCTTCTCCGCATAGACAAAGTGGTGCAACACGATCTTCCCCTCTACACCTTTTCTTTATTTGAATATAAACAGCTGGAATTTCCTTATAATGTAATTGTTAAGTTATGCGTAGAAAAAAAATCAAGGGTTAAAACTGTCGTGATCAGTTGAATTGTAAATAGATTGCCAGCTCCACGCCCAAGTCTTCTGTCTTGAAATCAAATTTGTCCTCGTTAATGATGTGTTGCTAGAAGCACTAGGCTGGTCAGATTCTTAAATACATTGTTGGGTTAACTTGCCTTCCTATTCCTCAATTAGTATGCACAACGCCTGGCCGGTCATTTGACACTTACTGGTCAGTCAGTGAACCCCATTTTGTACAGAGAAGTGTTTTCAGGGAGATGTCACGAAACTTATAAACTTTTCTGGCGTGCAGGTAAAGTACAGCTTCCCGTAACATGATCTGCCTGACTTGTGAGTAAAGACAGCTCTTTTTTTTCAGGATCGGAGAGAAGGCATGTAATCAGTTTTTACCCTTTCTAAATGGCACTTCCGACGGCTGATACTAAGGAAGCCTCCCACAAATTTTTGCTAAACCCCAAACCTTTATATTAATTATTAGGTTAAAATCAATTGATCAAGACAGATTTTTGGGGTCACTCTCATTGTAAATTAAAATTATGCAATTTATTTATTTTTGTGTACTGGGGTGTGTGTATTTTTGGTTACAAGTTTTTTTAAAGTTGCATGTGATAAAAGGAAGAAGTCACTTCATATTTTGACGAGCAATGTCCCGAGAGGAGGAGCTGGGAGTTTTCACTTTCCAATGGTCGTCAGCGTATTTTGGTGCGAAGTCTGTTTTGAGGCAGGAAATGTTTTTGCTTGCATGTTGGGAGAATTTTTTTTTTTTTTTAATTAATTTATTTTAAACAAAGTTTTAATGTTATTTGTTTTATTTTATGTTATTCTATTTATAATATTCATTGTTATTTTATATTTTTATTTTTATTAATAATAATGTCCCTACATCACATTCCCGCCAAATTAGTGCAGCTAATTGGTAGTGATGGATACCCTATTTAAAGTAGAAATAGTTATTGATTTTGGAGAAATGAACTCTCCTCCCGGGATGTGTAGTTGTTGTTTTTGATAATTGTTATTTTTGTTGAGGTTGTTGTTGTTGTTGTTGAGTTTTCAGTAGATTGTTTCGGTTGTTCAGGGCGGGGGGTGATTGTATCGGATGTTTCAGCTTTGGTTTTGTAGTAGTGCCACAGGTTTTAACATCTCAATAGAGACTGTGACCAGTTTTTCCTAAGTAATTTTCTATTATAAAGTATTTTTCAGTATTGTAATGACTTTATAGGGTCGAGAGTAAGGAGATTGGAGAGGTTTTCTGACTCTGTTCTTAATCGGGACATGGATTGAAGTATACAAGTTTTGTGTTATGAAAGATTGTTTA